GAAAGAAGTGCGAGGTCTAGATCCCGGCGATGAAGCGCAGCCAGTAAATTCCAATAGCAAGGGAGAGATTCTCCCGAGCAGCCGCTTCGCTTGTGACCGGAGAAGTCGCATATGCCTTCCTGCAGTGGAAGGGGTGGAAGGGGGTCTTTCAGCTGCCACGATAGCATGTTAGTAGCGCATCCTTATGCTCGAACCTTTCGTGATAGTTCTTGAAAGCACCGTGGCCAGACCTGGCCGCGAGGAGGTGGTGTATAACGAGCGTCTGTCCAACTCTTTTAGTTCGTCGTTCAGCTTAATAAAGACCCCTAACTGGTAGTCTGCATAAGACTCTGGCTTGTTTGCGGCCCACCAAGCCTTGCTTCCGGCCAGTCCTTCTCCTCTGGCCAGCGCTCTTCCTTCACCCAGAAAGCAATTGGGTCAGTGTGTTTATGGGCGCCGCTGCCAACCGCTGGCTGGCCAAATGCGTCTTCTGTAGGGTGTGGAAGAGATTTCCGGTGTCGCTTTGCATCTGGGTCTGGATCTCCCTCGACCGCGTGTCCGGTTGGGTGCTTGCGCTTGCGACCTCTGCTCTGGACAGACGCCGGTTGTTCCTATGAATCCCATGACCCAACTTGGTTTGTGAACCACATAATACAAAGGACAGAGGGCAAACTTGTGGTCTCCTTACCAGTTGCACGTTCTGTGATATGTGTCTGGCTGTTCCTCACTTACGATCGTTGAGTGTTCAGTCGATCAAAGGGTCATGACGGAAAAGAAAGCAAAAAGGGGCACAGGCCAGAAAATACCGGTATTGGGGATCATAGGACCTGGTTGTGGATCAATCTACCACATACGACCATACCCACTGGAAAACTCGGGATCCCGTCCGCTCTCCCATAGATAAGCCAGTGAGGGCCAGACTAGTAGTTGGGTCGGTGACGACCAGCGAATCCCTGGTGTTGTATGTTTTTTGCTCCACTTTCCTTTTTTGTCCATTCTCTTCCTTCACATTCCTCCCCTCCTTTTAGCTATGTGCAGAAGGCGCTTGCCTCTTTTTCGCGACCCGAGGCCAGGTAGCCAGGCTCGCCTGGGACAAAATTGATGACACCCAAGTCCACCACTCAAAACACCAAATCCGGCCAGAAAACCACTCAAATCAGCGATTTTACCGCGTTCGATGTCCAACGAGGGCATATTGTCAAGTTATATAATCCTCATGTAGTTTGAGCAATCCCTTTAGTCAGTTGTTTTGGGCTTCCTGGGCTTAGAAGTTAGGCTTTGGGTCCCATCAATTATGTCCCGGACGAGCCAGGTTATTTATATAGACGCTTTATGGCCGTTTGGGTTGCTTTTTTATCTGCTCCCAATTGGCACTGATCAGGGTGCTTACTGTCGCTTTTCCTTATCTGATAATACTCCTGTTATCTCTCTCGCTCTTTTCTCTCCTCAATGACACTACCTACCTACACCTCTATCAATGTCTCTCCCTACCTCTACCCATCAATTCACCAGACTTCAACCTCGCACCAAGAAGCCCTCCACCCCAGTCGCCAGCTCAAACCTTATCAACCCCTCGCACTCAACCATAGGAGTCCCGAAATAAAAAGTTTATTACGCCAGCAACTCCAGGTGCAACAATGACTAAAACTGCTGCCTTGACCTGGACACTGCCTACACCGAACACTCCAACTTGAACACTGGCGATAACAACGTTTGCGGCGTCAACTCTACTGGTAAGACCAGGAGCTACAAGCGATGGAATGCTTCCATTTGAGGTTTTAGAGATCGATGTACTTGCGGCCCTGAAAATCTGCGATTGTGACATTCTGTGCAGAGGGTTCCGGGTGGGGATTGAAAGGGTTGGAGAGGGGAGGGGGGTTGGCTGATCTGAAGAAGGTTAGGAAAGGAGCGACTTTGAGGGTTGAAGATGGCAAGAACAATGTAATGACGAGAGTTAATTAGGGCACAGAGCTGAGCCCCACCACTGAACAGAAGCTGCGACTTGATTTTCAATTTTCCTTGACTGGGTGATGGAGAGTTGTCGTTATTCCTCCCTCAGCCGCATCACGATGCTTTTCCACGAACATCATGTTCGCATCCCCATAGTTACAGCTTCAACAGGAACGCCTCGCCGTCACTCCTTAGTCGGACCATATGCAAACGTCTCCCTCCTCAAACTCCATACTGGGAGTTCGTCTGCTCAATAGAGGAGTGCTCCCTCTAATCCGTTCCCACCAGTGCGCATCTATGCATGCTTGTCGCGACGCAAACACCGCTGGCCTGGATCTGATAATTACCGAATCCTCATACCTGTCGATGGCATCCCGCAATTTCGCAGTCGTGTCTTCCAGGTGCGAAATCACCTGTTGCGCAAACTCCAGGACGTCGAATATTGCATGGTTGGCGCCCTCACCACGGTCTACACACAGGTATTAGATCAATCCCCTCTAGTTGTGACGATCAACAACAGACTTACACATGGCCATAGGATGCAAGGCATCACCAACAAATGTCACTCGACCTGCACTTCGCAGACCCTTTGGCGGTGCCCAGTCCGCCAGGTCGAGGCGCTTTACTTCGGTGTCCCCAGGAGCGTTACAGACGAGTGACTTGAAAGGTTCGCTCCACAATGCGGCAAAGGTCTTGAGAAGCCCGAGTCTCTCATCATTGCTTTCGGGAACCGGGATGGGTGATGATTGCCCAAGCACGCCGCTGCGGATGGGCCATGAGACAACCACTTGCACAGTGTACTTGTCTGTGCCTTTATTCGGGCTGTTTCCAGGGGCATCGAGGACTAGAGGTATGTTCATGTCAGCGCCACACCCAATGGATGTCATTGATGGAATCTGGAATCCTTCTTACCGCTAACATAAACATACGATCTCGTCGCAGGACAACTCCCTTGCAAGAAAAACGGATCAAGCGCCCTTACCGGCTCAATATCTTCCTTCGAACACTCGAGTCTGACACCCATCACTCTCACTGGAATCCGGTATTTGGGATACTGCTCTTCCGGGAAAAGGGCACGGCGAATCACCGAGTTGGCACCATCGCAAGCCACGAGCAAAGTCCCTGAAGTTGCTGTTTCATCATCGAATGCCACAGTGACAAACTCCTCCCCGGTATCAACCTGCTTGACACTCTTATCCCACTACAACCTCTCGTCCCTTGGGTTAGCATCAATCTTCATTGCTCTAAACATGTGTACATCTCCTCAAGGAACACAAGAAGCACCAACCTTCACCTCAACCCCCACTCCGAGCAACTCTCTCAATCTTCTTCTCTCAACCCTCACCCTGCTGTTTTCTCCCACCTCTGGCACAGAAGCCTTCAACTCCCCCGTGCTCAAATCATAGAATGGGAAAGTTCCTGTTCGCCCAGCCTCAATGGCTTTCCTATCGACATAAGTCTCTGGCAGTCTCTGCACTAACTCCTCGGGTAGGAGATAACGGAGAGCTGCTAGGGACCAATGGATGGTCAAACCCCAACCTAGGTTTTCCTTCTTGTCTCGAGCTGTTGGACTTGGCTCACGGTCGAAAATAGTGAAGGGGATCGAATGGAGCTTCAAGACTTGAGCGAGGAGAAGGCCAGAAATGCCGGCGCCAATTATCAAGACACGTCGTTGTGGCATTTGATTGCTGTCGGGGGCGTTCGATACTTTGACATGGGCGCTGCTTGGCATTTTGGATCGGGATCGCAAGTCGTGATACACTGACAAGTTGCAGGCGCGGAGAAAGACGGCACAATCCAAAGTTCCTGTAAGAGGTCGTACCAAGTTATATCTACGGCTTGGCTTGGGAAAACACGCACACATCTTCCCAACAAGGCGGATGCACGGCGGATGTAAGTCGTCGGCAATCAAGTCTTGGGTCGTTTCCTGGAAGCGAGAACCATGCATGTGAGCTAATATTGGTCGTCAGTTTAAGCTCGCTTGTTTAGGTTTTGCGGTACAGCAAACCTGATGAATGCTGTTGCATGAATATGGTGCAACATGGGTTGCAATTGGGACCAGGAGGGTAGTACCTGAGTCTGACATGCCGCCACAGGGTTCTGGCGAGATCTCGCCTGTAACCACTGAGGAGCGTGTCTCTGTTCAGCTTTTGGTAGGCCCATGGGAGAGTATGAAGGTAAGAATTGGTAAGCCGTCCCGTGTTTTCTCTCGGTAGGTATCCCAAGATGTGGATATATATTATTCGCATGCCCGTCCATGGCCGTTAACTCCGCAGTCCGCTTCGTTGCACTTGTTTCACCACGGTATCAATCGTTTTCCCGGTCCGCCAACGGACAGAAAACCACTCACAATGACGGCAATGGATCCAAACAGCGACAAGGAAGCCGTGACGAGCGTCAAGGAAACGACAGTCAGTCCCAGTGAGAGCCTGGAACTAGACGCAGCATGGACATATCTCAACGAGCATCGAGACACCAGTGCCGCCGTTAACCTGGAAGCCGTTAACCTCTCCTTACTCCGGAGGAAGATTGACTGGCACATTGTCCCCCTCATGTTCCTCTGCTACACCTTGCAGTTCCTCGACAAGGTCATCCTGAACGCAAGTCCCCTTTCCCCATTACAAAGCCAAGTCCTGGCATCTTCTAACCCCATGGCCTCCAGTACGCAGCAGTAATGGGCCTCCCAGCCGACCTCCATCTCAAAGGCAACGAGTTCTCAAACATCGCGACTTTCCTTTTTGTCGGCCTTTTGTGTTTCGAGGTCCCCAACGTGTACCTCCTTCAACGCCTGCCCTCGGCCAAATGGCTCGGCGCCAACGTCACTCTTTGGGGAATTGCCACCGCCTGCGGCGCCGCTGCGCACTCGTACCGCACCATTCTGGTGTCTCGCGTGTTCCTGGGCATATTCGAAGCCACAATCGGCCCTTCCCTCATGCTCATCAGCAGCCAGTGGTATACCAAATCGGAAGCTGCGCCACGCTTCTCATTTTGGTATCTGGGACTGGGAGTAGGGCAGATTATTGGCGGCTTGGTGTCGTTTGGGTTCCAACATGTTGTTCCCAGCGAGGGCAGACTGGCCGGGTGGAGGATCATGTTCGTTGTGTTGGGTGTAATCACGGTAGTGGTTGGATTGGCGGTTATCTTGATGTTGCCCGATACCCCCATGAAGGCGAAGTGGTTGAGTGAGAGAGAGAAGGTGGCCCTCTTGAAGCATGTTAGTGTCAATCAGACGGGGATTGAGAATACCAAAAAGGGATTCAAGTGGAAAGAGGTGGTAGAGGCCGTGATGGATATGCAGGTTTGGTTGCTGCTGTTATCGGTTGTGTTGGTAAGTGTTGTCCCTGTGGTGTTTGATCTCGAGGTACTAGACTAACATTTTCTAGCTTTCGGTGTCAAGCGGCGTGGTGACCACCTACTCGGCCACTCTAATCCGGAACCTCGGGTACGCCCCGAAGAAGGCTGCACTCATGAACACTCCTTCTGGAGCTGTCAGTATCTTCTTTACCCTGTTGGTTGGCTATGGCATTCGCACACAATCCCATCGCTGGGCGTGGATCATTGCTTGCATCATTCCTGCGTACGTTCCCAGTTCCCGCCATCCCCTTCCCCATTCATCCCCCGATCCTCACTAACACACCCCATCAACAGCATCCTTGGTGGCGCCTTAATGTCCTTCCTCCCGACCACCAACCGCTCCGGCATTCTCGCAGGCATCTACCTCGTCAACGCTGTCGTCGCCCCTCTCCCCATCTTCTACAACTGGACTGTGTCCAATATCGCCGGAACCACCAAGCGTGCTTTTGCCGCCGCCATCATCAGCGGGTCATTTTCGCTGGGGAATATCATCGGTCCCCAAACATTCAAGGCGAAGGATGCTCCGGAGTATAGACCCGCTAAGATCGCGGTAATGGCGACCCAGGCTGGCTGTGCCGTGACTACTTTTGCGTTGTTTCTGTGGTACGTGTGGAGGAATAAGACGAGGGATGCTGCGGAGAAGGTCAGGAAGGGGGATGGAGGAGAGGGGGCAGAAGTTGGCGAGATTGGTGAGAAGGAGGCATGGAGTGGGCTAACGGACTGGGAGAACAAGAAGTTTCGGTATGTGTACTAGGCTGGATCAATGGGGGTTGGAAGGGTGATGGTGGTCTAGGACTTTGGGCCTTGGCTAGCTTGTGCAATCAGGGATTCCATATCTTGGGCCTACTCAACGCGACTTCAATCTGTCCTTCGTCCTCGGGGTATATCCTCCTCCAGTTCCGTATCTTTCAACATCGGCGCTCCCTCCTCTTCTTCACCACTCTCCGTCCTTCTGATATCCCTGACACCTCCAGCCATCTCCACATCCGCATCCTCGTGCGCACCCGATGCCGCTCCGCTCTTCACACCCGCCTCTTTCCCCAAAACAGCCCACAGCGCACTGCCAACAATCAACCCACATCCAACCACACTCCACCCACTCATCGTTCGTCCAAATACCCACCTATCAAATCCCGCTGCGAACAACATCTGCGTATAAACCATTGCAGTCGCCCGATTCGATTTCGTCGCTCCCTTTGTCATCGTCGCCCGTCTTCCTTCTCTTCTCTCTCTTCCTGCTTCGACCTCTCCCCTCGCTTCGACCTCTCCCCTCGCCTTCCCATCACCATCCTTTCCAGGCCCAGCACCCAGTCCAGATGTCAGCAGAAACTGCATCACAAACCCAGCAACACCCAATCCAACCAACAACGCCCATTGATACAGTCCCCTAGGCAATCCCCATCGAATAGCCGGTACCAAATCCGTTGCTTCTTGCCCGATATCCAACAATGGACAGAGCAGGAGAGCAGTTAAAGAGACCAGGGTACACCATAAGGAGAAATAGTTGACGGATATCAAAGGGTGCGTGGAAGGGCCGAGGGCGCGAATGGTAGTGAAGGCTGCGGATGCGCCGAGGACTGAGAGGAGGGCCATTAGAATGCCTATGAGACGTTCGGCGGGGGATACGTCGGGGACACCATTGGTTGCGTTACTTGCGTGGGGGCGGTGGCGGAGGTGGTCGGTCCGGGGGTAGGGTAGTTGTGAGGTTATGGGTTAGGGTTAGGGAGGTGAAGTTACTCGAAGTAGAAGCAGGGAATTGAGGACTTTCGAGAGCGGGTGCTCCCGAGGTAGTTGAAGAGGCGAAGAATGAAACGGGCCGAGCAATCAGGACGACGCCTGCTAACGCGACGAAGCTGGCTATTTGCTCTCTTTTGGTGAAGGGGTCTTTGAGGAGGAGGTGCGAGAGGTAGCCTGAGAGGGAGGGCGCCAGGAAGGTGATGACTGTTGCTTCGGCGATGGGGAGGTAGAGCATTGAGTACCAGAGGGGGAAAATCCCAAAGAAGCCCGTGACTCCCCTCAAAACCAACAACCACCTAACCTCCCTCCTCCCCCACGGCGCATGCTCGACCTTTTTCCAATGCATATATACCAGCGAGAGAACGCTAGTCAAAAACATGCGCGCGAAAAGGATCTGGAAGGGATGCATTCCCTGACCCTCTTCCTTCTCGCCTTCCCCGGATAGTTCGAGGAGACGAGCGGAGAGGTTCATTAGGGCGCCGAAGAGCTGGGCGATAGCTACTTGGAAGAGGGGACGGTTGCGGTGGAGGAATGCCCTCAGTCGGGATCTGATGTTGGTGGGGAAGGGAGGAGCGTTGGGGTCGTTGGGGTCATGGTAGAAGGACCTTGATGGTGATGGAGAGCGCGAGAGGGCTCGACGGATGTGTTGAAAGGAGGGAGAGAGGAGTTCGTGCTCGGAGAAGGGGGAGGTGGTTAGGGAGCGGAGGGCGGAAAGGTCGGGAATGTGGAGGTTGTGGCCTTTGTTGATTTTGCTGGTGAGTGGTGGATTCGGTGAGGGGGAGGATGCTGAGGATGATGAGGGGAGGTTAATCATCGTGTAGGAGTCTTCGCCATCGTTGGGGTTGAAGTCCGTTTTGGAGTCGAAGAGTTTATCGTAGCTGGGCATGTTGATTTCAGTTCATGGGTGTGATGCTTGATGCAGTTGTGCTTATGGTGATGGAATCCGTGATCCGTGAAACAGGTCGATGAAGCAAGGTCTGGCAATGAAACGACTCCGAGAAAACAAACGGTGATGGAAAAGTCTATAATGTTGGCGTTACAAACAATGATGATTTATTCGCTAATCTATCAGCAAATAGACAAAAGACACTGAATAGAAGGATGATTGAGGACAGAAGATGTAACTGAAAACAATGAAGTGAAGATTCTGCAGTCAGCCAAGACGACAAAAATCGGGTCACCTGCAGACTTGACAACTGGGTCATCCCCGAGATCCTTGTGAATGGGGTAGGTATGCCATCATTGACGTTGAAATATGAGGGGAAGGGCGTTAAACCCGGCCTTTGGGTGTGATAGAAGTGATGTGATAGGGCGATTGTATGTCGGCATCATCTTTCCCGAGTTCACGGATGAGTGTCGCGTGCGCAAGTGGCGGTTGGTTGGTCGGCTGCGGGCTGGTTACTACCCGACGGGACCGCTGGCGAGGTCGTTGAACCAACTGGGTGGTAAAAAAGTTCAAGACCGTCAAGACATCGCGTTATTATCTATCTTCGAGGATCCGGTGTCCAAATGTCTTTGTGCGATAGGGAAAATGACGTCGAGTTAAACCAAGCATGTGGACGAGGGGAAAAGCGAAGGGGTGCATGATGGACTTGCGGAAAGGCGCTTTGGTTAAGCGAGGAGACAGGCGTAAGAAATATTAACAACGGGCCACGCATTTAGAGTATAAAGCAGTTAGCGTCTGTCAGTGTAACTACTAGCCCCGGTGGTTCGGCCTGACTTGCCGCCCGCCAAGCACAAACTACGAACATCACTCACGGAACCGCTTCTCCATTAAAATGGTGTTCACTACAATTCAATATGATCCAAACTATCGGCCTAAGAATAACCAGCTACAAGTCGAAAATGACCTCCTCCGAAGATGTAAACAATACATGCACAAGGATCTGGGACAATCTGCCACTGTACGGTTGTTTGAAGGGCTAGACCTAGACCAGTTAGCGCCAGAAAACACAGTGGTACCTTTACATGAGGTGAATCCTGTCGGGGCTAGGTAGGTACTTGCCAGATCTTTCGCATATCTCATTACTCGTTTCTTTGCGCCCTATTTCCCGATGTCAGCAACAATTTGCCCGTTTAGAATTGAAGTTCGTTCATCGTGTGCATGGGTCCAAACCTGGTCAAGAAAAGATGCTGCCACACGTTGTTTTTCAACCAATGTACCGAACGTGACCACCATCTGTAGGAAAAGTCGCCGAGTGTCTGAGATGTTACAGAGCAGCTTATCAAGACTTTCTAGCCTTTGTGCCAGAAGGAACAAGTAATCTTGAGGTTGTTGGGTAATTCCACCGTCTGTTTCCGGTTTCTGATCATCATTCGCCTGCGAGGGATGTTGGGCTTCAGGGGCCGAGCTTTCCTGGTAGGATGGCTGTTCTTGAGATGACTCCTGCTGCACGATGTCTGTTGCTTCTCCGGAGGCGAAGGTTGATGATGGCTGCATACCTCCCGGTGTCCCTTCTTCCTCTAAAGTCGGTTGTCCAGCTGGACTTTGCCTCTGTTCCGAAGCTTCCTCTTGCTTTGGGCACTGTCTCCCTTGCGAGAGCCTTTACTACTCGTTGACTTGCTGCTATGCGGATGGCTGTGGAACTAAGGGAGTTTCCGGTGCCTTCGTCGGTGAAGACCTGGAAATCGTATACTTTTTCTGGACACCGGTTATTCCCAAGACAACCAGGCATTGAAGTATTGCAAAAAAGAGATCTGTGGATGAATACCAGGGCAGTGTAAAGGTCATCACAGAGAAAGACGACTGGGAAAGGAGTTGCAGAGCTGGTGCGAATGAGAAGGTAGAATTTTTATTGCATTCTTGTGGATGTCCTTCCACCATCCAAGGCTAAGAAAATGCCACCGCGTTGATCATGAGCCGTCATTTTTCCATCACATTTCCTTCCAGATGAAAGGCCTAGCCAGGCCATGACATCTTTTTTCCGTCACTTCTATAACGGAATAACCAGGTCAGTCCCGTGCTGATCCTCAAGTCGAAGACCAAGATACCTCAACAGGTTGAACACAAGTATCCTGTAGGTGAGTACCTCAACTAGAGAAACGAACGGGAAGTTAGATGCTTACCCGGGATTTTGGAGCAGGGGGGTCATTGGAGTCCTCGCCGAGGTAACCGCCGTGGTTGGATTCTTCTTCATCCCGTTCACTTTCCACGAGCCGGCTGGTTGGTTTGCTTGTCGGTTTGCCGATTGAGCTGCTGGTCGACTTGTTGCTTCGTGAGGGACCTTCACCATTATCTTCGGAGCGTTGGGCTTTACTACCTCCACCGATTATCGGCCTCTCCTTTCCCTTTCGTGACTCGGAAGCCACCTTAGCGGACTCCTCATCCTCATCGTCAGAGTTTGCATCGATGCACGCTTTCAGTCCTTTTATGATGAGGGGAAGACTGTAACCGATGACTTTTGGTCCATGCTTCTTGACCACGGGACCAATCCTCTGGATAGTCTTGAGCATACTGTCGAAGAATGATTCGGGTTCGACCGATGTAGCGTCACCAAGAATTCGGCTTTCGGCCAGTTCCTTCTTGCCGGCCTTGAGAACAGGTGGCCAGCAGGGCGGCGGCCTGTTCATCAGTGATCTCTTCCTTGTTTGAAGAATTGTAATCGTAGGCAACTCCGGATTCGGTCTCTCCCCCCGAGGCTGACTGTTTGGCGAGCCACTTGTCAAGCTTCTCGTAGTTCCTCCGAGATTGATCTCACGCGGTCTTTACAACGAAAGACTTAGCAACCCGAGCACCTTTTGCCAGAAACTTCCCAAGATCGCCAGGGAGATGGCTTCAGTGTTGCCGTAACTACGAGTCGCACTGGGGTCTCGAATGCGCACTATTTTTATGTGCTCACTAGAGGCAGTCTTGAGGAAGTCCCCAACATGAGTATCGCTACTCGTAGACTCGTTGATGCTGCTCTTTGGCCGTGGGGGTTGACTTGGCGGACCTCGTCAGAAGTCTCGCTTTTGGTCCTTCGTAGCGTATACGAAGCTTGACGATCGCTACGCATAGGGTATCAAGGTCAGCATGAGACAAATAGCGTTAGAAGGGAAGAGATACATACAGCGATATTTTCCACCAGGGCTATAATGAACACGGTCAACCACGGCCCGTTCATCCTTCAAGATAACCGCCTCTTGATCATGGCTGTTGTGCTGAATCGGTTTCGGCGATTTGGGATTCTGCGGATCATCGGAAGCACCCAAAGTCCACAGAGCTCCCTCAACACCGGGCTCCCTCAGAATTGCTTGGATATTGGCCATGTTGAGCAAGAATTTGGCTTGTCAAAACAAAAGGAAATGGCTGAGTTGCTGAGTTGCTGAGTTGAGGTACTTCCAAGCGGAACTTGGGTTCAGCCGATGGGATTGACACTAACGGAATCCCGTCTCTGGGGCCCGCGATATTTAGGCGACAAAGAAGGTTCTCTCTGTGCCTATGTTCTGTGATCATGACTCTACCATTCTGATGTTCTTTACCCCTCTTCCTGATCTTCTTCTCCAACTTCCTTTCTCCCTTCCCTCAGCTGACATTCTGCATTGAGGCCCGACGATTAGGGCTACAGACTGAAGCTCAACTAATGAATAGCACCTGCTTGGTCCGCGTACTATGCGTGCCACAGGGGCAAAGAGCCCTTGACTTCAACACGTATGTGGACGCCTGACACTAGTTTTGTTTTCGACTGTTCAAATCGCGGGACATGAACAAGAAGAAGTCTGCTTCGCGGAGTATGAAAAGGTTGATTACTCGAATATGGGCTGGACTTGGCTGGTGCATATTGGGCATACGCTTCTCGAATCACTGAAGTTTGAGGTGCTCTCGGCATCATGAACTTCTGATGGTCGGTGGTGGTTACTCCATCCTCAAGCCCTCTTGTGGATGCGAGTGGACCAAGGCGATACATCAACCCAAAGAACGGCATAGACACAGCCCACAATATAAGTAAGGCAGCCCTGAAGTAACGACTGTTACATCTAGTGTATCATCTTGCGAGAATGAAGGAGTCCTGCTCGCTACCCAGAGATGTAGAGCTGCAAGCTGGCGCCAGATAGGCAAGAGCAGAGCAGAAGCAGGCAAGCTGATGGGCTCATTCAATTAGTTAGATGGATGAACAAATGAGGGAGGCAGACGTTTTGGGGTAGGTACTTGTGAAAGGGGAGATATCTCGGCTGTATCGAGCTCATCCAGCCTGTCGATGCATACCTTTCCCAGTAAACATTGCCCGCGTATCTGGCAATTAAGACTCCACATGATCAACGCAATGATGCCTGATCTGAAAGCATGTAGGGTTTTCAATGTCAAATCAAGGGTCCAAACGAGGCCGCTTGGCCACAGCCTATCTGAATAGGGTTGCTCAATTTGCTCGGGGCAATGAGCGCAGAGCCTCAATCCATGTTCTCCTTCCATTCCCGCAACTTCCAGCAGCCTTCCACCGATAGACGCCAAGATTGCAACTCATCCACACAAGAGTATGCAAGCCACCCAAAGGGACCGCATCTGACTGCGTTCTGGCTTTAGAGGTCGAGGGAGGCCTATCCAGTCCTGGCAGAGGTGTTTAGAGATGTTGTCATCGGTCGAGCTTGCACCACTGGTAAGCCGTATTGGAGCCAAGGATCAAGTCCCGGCCGGTTGAAAGGTAATCGAGTTGGTGGGTTGAAAGAGATAGAGATAAAAACGACGAGAGGAAATATCGGTGATTGATGAGGTGAATTGGACATCGTTGGCGAGAAGTTGATCTATGCCCACCAAGCTTCACGCGCTCCCTCATAATTCCCAATTATCGCGCCGACACTTCCCTATGTCCAGTCGCGATTAACCATTCGGACGACTGCCTGGCAGAAACGACGGCGTGTCTTCGATGTGGATGATGCCTGTTATTTCGTGTTTACACACTGGAATGCAGGAAACGTTGCGCAGCCCTCCTCCGTGAGATTGGGTAGGATCGCGATTGCCAATTCGAACTAGGACGTGATGTCATCACGGCGTTCATGGATTCTTCATCTTGTAACAGAACGAAAGTGCACACCATCCAAAGTCTTCATCTTCGGTTTTTCTAGGTTGGGCCACGAGCGCTGTCCGTTTTCATCTGACCATGCCGCAATCAATTGCTTTGCTATGATCCAAGGCGTTGCCTTTCATCCCTTAGCAACAGAGCAGTGATGTGTGCCATCAACACCAATCGTCTTGAGCCTGCAACAACAAGAACTTTGTTTTCTCCGCAATGCTGTTCCCCGACTACTATATCGGACGCTCCAAGTTGAAGACTTTCATTAGTCTCCTGTGACGGGAAACCAATATTGCCGATAGTACTTCAACTTCCCATGACCGGTAAGGCGCAACAACAACATCGTCATTTTCTGCGGGCACAACGAAACGAGAGAACCCCCAAGTTGAGGATAATTCATTAACTATTACAAGTTACAGCATTTATACATTACCCGCCAACCTACCAGAAGTTGACATCACTCATTTTAACGGCCTGCGGCAAAGTCCTTATCCAACTGCTCTTGGAACTTGATCCACTGGCCCTTGAGCTTGCACGCAGCAGTCCAGTAATTCCCCTTGGGGTCCTTCCCCAAAATGAAGAAGCCATCACAGGGCTTCGCCGGTCCATGGTTCTCCTGCACATACGAAGGCCGGCAGTGTCCATCCTTCACCTCCTTGCGAGCAGGAGAAAAGTCGACCTCGAAGAGGTTCGCCTTGGACCAGTTGGAGAATCCGATCTGGTACATGCCGCCATCACCGAAGATGATGATTGGCAGACCCGTGTTGGATGTTCGTACCATGTTGTAATAGGCCATGTGCTGCTGCCGGGTGCCCTGCTCGTTGATTGCTCGGCGGACCTGGCGTGCTACCCAGCTCAGGGGCTTGGTTGATACATCTCCGGCAGTGACGAGGACGTTACCCCACCCAAAAGCGTTGCCAACATAAGGGTGCTCGGAAGCATATGGGATGAGATCGCCTTCAAAGGCCTTGCGGAGGGACATGGCGATCGATCCGGCAACCTACAAAGTCAGCATCAGGACATGCCATTGATGGCACGAAAAACTTACAGTTCGCTTGGGATCCATGTTCATGGATTCAACCACGCATCTCATGATCCACGCTGTGATGACGTCGTTCTCGGTCAGGAACACCTTGCTTGGATCCTCACCCTTCTCGACCGCCTCAGCCCGCAACTCCTCGAGCGCCTTCTCATGTTGTGGCTTCCAATAGCTCTCCGGAATGCACACCATGCCGTTGTCCTTTGCTCGCAGCACCATGTCAACACCATATCCGAGGCCCCATTTGAGGATACCGCCCATTCCCACACGTCGGTCGTTAAGGATATGCTCCTCGGTAGCCTGAGCCAAACCCGTGGCAAGAGGTTCAAACGGATCCCCATCAATGCCATACGGCGTGAGGACCTCGTTCTCCCTACCATGGAGCAGCAACTGCCAAGCACCTACCACATATTGTAGGCCGAGCGCATCAAATGTGACGTGTTGCCATTGGAGGACAACCACGGTTTTGTCGGTAAAGGAGTTGACCCGGAGGCCAAGGACGGGCTTATCAATGTTGAGGTAGTCGGTGATGCCGTTGGGAGTATAGCCGGTTTCCCAGGCCAGGTCAGTCAGCAGATCAGGGTCGCCGACAACGCAGGGACGGTCGCTCGGTACGGGGATCTTGGAGGCGGCTGGATGTGCCGAGGCAGGCAT